AAGAGCTAAGGGGACTGTGACATCACCTTGGTGGAACCCAGGGGCCTTCCTGCCCCAGATTCAGGGGAAAGGTGGAGGCTGGGGGAAACCACAGGGAGGTTTTCAGAGACACTTGGGGGTCTTTCCAGTTGTCATTCAAGAGTAAAGACATCTGACCAGTAGGCATAAAGTCATACCTCTCTCTCTCTCTCTCTCTCTCTCTCTCTCTCTCTCTCTCTCTCCTACACACACCTAATTGGAAAGGATTGGAAAGAATGAGAGACTGAAGTTGAAGACCTTCCATCCAAACCCAGTGAGTATTGGTTGGTAACGGAAAAAAGATTACAGGACAAATCAGTGACAAACTTTAGTCCCCTTTTCTCAAACTCCATTCTCAAGGCCAAATTCAATCACTGATCTGTCAGGCAAATCTACAAATGTCCCTTATTTCCACACATCCAGTTGGTTACTGATAACACAGTGACTGTTACATGGGGGTAAAATACATGCCATTCCCTGGGCTAACTAGAAGGTTATACACAGGGTCTGAATATAGTTCTGAGCAAGTTAATGAACAAAATCAGACTTGGTTTTTCTTAGTGACAGAGCAGGTCCGTTGTAGGTCACTCTCAATGCACATGGTCAATAGTGGCTGTGGGAAGCTTGGGATGTGTGAGATCTAGAACCTTCTAGATCTTCTAGAAGCCCTAGCCTGTTCCACATCTGTGCACACACTGAATTGTCAGCCTAGTTAGTGATGAGCAGGTTTTGATGATCCCACAAAGGGGAGTGCTCACCCAACCAGAAGTGCCTTCTGCTCCAGAACTGGGCCCTTCCTTCCTGCGTCTCCGCACTGCCCGGGAGCCAGCGTGATGCTCCCTAAACACTAGCTAAATGAGCTGATGCGCCACCAATGAGGGAACCTCCTGCCAAGCAGAGAGGAGAGGTTTTCTTTTCTGTTATTCCGAACTCCATACAAGGTGTCTCTTCAAATTCATTTTGCAGAACGATTTATTTAAAATGTAACACATGACCTTGTCTCTCCTCTGTTATGGCTTCCCATGGCCCCTGTGCACACAGAGAAACCCCCAAGGTGCTCAGCAGAGCTACGGGCCTTGTGGGGCCTCTCCCTCCTCCAGCCGTGCCCCCTCTGTTTGCCCTTAACCAACGCAAAATGGTCCAGTGCTCCCTGAAAGCCCCGGGATTTGGGCAGCTATGTCTTGACTTTCTGCTTTGCCTAGAACGCTGTTCGGACTCATTCAGCAACTCTTGAAGACTCAGTTTATAAATCCCCTCTGCCGGGGGTCTCCCCTTCTCAATAATCCATTTCCATTTCTGCCTCTCACCCACCTGCTAAAGTTCTCCCCAGTGGAAGGGTTTCCTTTGTCTCCACCACTAAGCACAGTCCTGTCACAGAAAAGTGCCCTAAGACATCAGCGGATGCCTGGTACTCACTACTGAGGCCTGAGCACCTACAGCCATTTGTACATCCCCTTGTCAAGGCTGCTGTCCAAACAGCATCATCAGTCTGTTGTTAACCAGCCATCACCTTCCTCCTCCATCATTTGTGTGAGTTGTAGGAAATAGTCATCAATAATTATTCCCAAAATGAATTTAAAAAGAAGGCAAGTCCTTTTCCTTAAAAATAACTGCATTGACCACATATGCAGGTTGCACTTTTGTCTGATAAGCACGTGGTCCCTCCAGAATCTTTGTTGAAGGAAGCCCACCCCATCCAACCACGTGTCCATCCTCTGCCTAAGGCCCCGATTTCTCAGAGAGCCACAGGATGTGCATCATGGTTTGAATCTGTGCTTCAGCAGCTGACTTTACGTGATTCTGAAATAGGGAAAAAGTAAAACAGCTTCTATGAAATGAGCGTTTTCCTTTGATTTGTGTTTCTGGCTCCAAATCTCAAATTATCAGTTGACGGATTGATTTTTATGGGAACTGGCTGGTCGATTTGGTCATCATCCGCATAATCAGTTCACCCTGACATAGTTTCTTCTTCCTTCCACCTCGCTTGATATCGTGTGAACGCATGATGTTCCCTCACAAAATCACCACCCTCCAGTGCTCCGTGCTCCCCGTGTCAGACCCTGGGTTCCGCAGGACACAGTCCCTAGGGAGCTTCACAAGGACAATTCCGCTGGGGTGTAGATGTGTGAGCCTGCTGTGAGGGGCTGAGGAGAGAATCTAGGCTGACCCGTGGGGACAGTGCTGTCTGCTCCTCAGGGGAGCAGAGGAGGAGGGCAGCCGCTGGCGATGAGTACAGGATTTCGGGGGGTCGTTTTATTAGAGGTGAAAGGTACGAGAACAACGTGTGCGCCAAAGCAAAGGACAAAGGACGGAGAATATGGGTGGTAAGAGGAGAGTAATCACAAGACGAAGTCCTTGAGAAGAGCAGGAACGGGGTCCGGGACACCAGTGGAGGGCGACAGTATCGCATCCACCCTGACAGAGGACAGGAAGGGACCTCTCTGGGTATGGACGTGTGCAGGTTGGAAAAAGATAAGGAATCTCTGATTGCTTCTATTTTGCAATAAGCAGTGAAGGGAGATCACTGGCTAACAGTAAGGGAAACTTTACGAATTAATCTTTAATTGCAATTAACACCTATTTTTTTTAGAACATAAGATATAATGATTTACTTTAATTTTTCAAAATAAAATCCCACTCAGTTTTTTTTCCCTATTTAAGATGTCATTTTGGTCCCTGACTTGGGAGACTTTTTTCTTTAAGGTCTCTTGCCAGGTACCAATGTTCTTCGGATGGCAAGGACTTTGATACTTCAGATTAAATATACGCACACAGCATAAAGGAGGCATTCTCTTCACACTTGACCTTTCCTCTAAGTTAGAATGTCCAATGGCCATTCATTTCACTTATTGTTTTTTGTCACTTTGTACTTAATTTGTGCACAACCATGGAAAACGTATCCAAAAAGAATTTAACCCCGTGAGTCATGTTCCATCTTTCTCGGCCTTTCCGAGAGCATGAAATTTGTCCCATTCAAAGACTTCCATGGGACAATGTCAGCCAGGAAATGACCGATGTCCACTAAGGAGTGAACAGGTTTGGGATTTTCTTTGTTAGCTTTGCTCATAGCTCACACAGGTGGCTAACTTCTTTTATTCCTTTCAGGTATAGATAGTTCACCCTTCCTTATGAGCTTTTGTGTCATTGGAGGGTCTATTTCTGTGTGAAAGGAACCAGCACCACCTCCCCCCAGTTTCCAAAATACCATGAGGTCGATGCTTGTGGGAAGAATGTTTATGCACAGCCAAATCCCTTTACCCGAAGCAGAGCTCTTTCACCCCATGAAGGAATTTCTTTCACTTGACAGACATAATAATTTCATAATGAAGCCTTACTAATGCCAACCAACGGAGGACAATCGCCTTTGAAGCACATGGGTCGCTTGCGTTCCGGGGCTGCGTGGTTCTCCTTGTGGTCACTTCTTTCCCAATCGCCTTCCCGCTGCCTCCCCATCACTCGGCCTCTAACACCTGAGCGGCCTGACCCTTGTCCTCTTCTCTTTCCCGTCTTCAGCCCCTCCCTGTCCCATGCTTCAAGTAACATGGGTGCCAGTCGCCCCACATTTAAATTTCAGCCTGAGCCTCTCTCCTGAGCCCCACACAGAAACATCCCCCTGCAAGTCCAGCCGTCTCCAAATTACACCCTTGACACCTCCAGCCCCAAGCTCCCCACCTCAGGAAATGGGGGTCCTTGCTCCTGGTTGCTCAGGAACTTAATACTGGAGTCTTCTTGACAAGCTCCTCTCACACCCCACAGCCAGCCCACTGGCAAATCCTGGCTCCTTTTAGCTTCACAGTGTATCCAGCACCCACTCACCCGGTACACCCATCACCCATCGCCCATCACCTCCTCTCACCTGGATGTCCACAGGAGGTCCCCCTGCTCTGGGCCCCTGTCACTCTTTAGTATCTCTCACCATAGCAAGCAGGGGAAGGCGGGGCCTGCTCACACCCTCCGGCCTCCCACCTCGCTCCGAGCCAAAGCCAGCACCTAACGACGGCCTTCGCGGCCCGTGCTCATCTGTGACACTCTGTCCTCACTTCCCCTTCCCTACGCTGAGCTCCTCAGCCAGGGGTCCACATGGCTTGCTCCTGCCCTACCCGAGTCTGAACACCTGCCCCATTTCTTCGCTTCATTTTTTCTTAGCACTTATCACTGTTTTTAAAACGCACCTAACTTGTTTGTTTTGTCTGTTCCCCACTGTACACCCCAGACTGTACACCCCAAGCAGGTATTATCCTCTGGTTTCCCCTTCGCCATGCACGCAGCGCCTTCAGTTGTGTCTGGCGTGAACTAGATGCTATTAAATGCATGTCAAGCAGGGGATGTGATGTGACAATCGTGTCTTGGATTGGGAGGCTGGGGACGAAGCCAGCCAACGGCGGGCAGCACTCCATCAAGTGCTGGAATTTAACGAGTAGGATGTCAGCGACAAGGCATCCCACCTGAGGGAAGACTCCGGAGGCTGCAGAGGTGCCTGGAGCCGCACAGGGCACAGTGCGTTTCTCCCTGATGAACAGATGGGAGCGTTCTCCTTGCTCATCAGAGTCAAACCGCATCGAAATAAACTGCTGACAAATTTGCTAAGTACAGTGCTTTCTGTTGGAAGATTCACAAAGCGACTAATATATATAGTGTGTACCCTCTTAAAAGCAATCCTGCCAGAATAAAAACTCTATTTAAAAGTCTTTTAAGAACATCTTGGGGGGGTTTTTGCTTTAAGTCTAATTTGGTTCTGCAAAGGAAATTAAACTTTAGTTCCTAGTAAAATGAAGTTACTTCTTCAATTTCTCATCCCCATGTACTAGACGATCTTATAACTAACTGTATTGGAGTTAAACACTGCAAAGAAAACAAACAAGTTTCCAAGTTATGTGGATGAAAACTAACACATATTTAGAGTGTCACACTTTACAAAGCCAAAGAAAATAAGGCAGATTTTGGGACCGGGTGCGCCTGGATTCCAGCTGCTGATCACAAACCTCCTTGGTGTCTCTTCTGAGCCTTGGTTCGCCATCTGAACATGGGGATCCCGGTGGCACCTTGCCGGGTTGCTGTAAGGACCGAAACCAGTGTGATTAGAGAGCTGGTGGAGGGCCCAGCGCGCAGCACGTGCCCCAGAGTGCTGGCTGACAGCTGACGCTGCCACCATTACTAAAAATTACAACACAACGGCCTCTGTAATCTCGATGTTATGAACGGACCCTTAAGAACCATGATGTTACTACAACTCAAAGATTCCTATGACTGTTAGAAACCCCAAACACCAACATGAGCCATGAGCCTATCCTTCCTGGAGACAAGGCTTTTTATTAAAAGGAGTCTGCATTTTAATGGAGAAATAAGAGTACATGTGGCAGACACCCTTCCCCAAACATTTTCACAAGGAACAGGGTCCCTAAAATGTTGTACAAGGGCCTTATACACAAATCCATCCGAGTTTCTCAGAAGTACATAATTTAAAGAATATTTTTCCAAAAAGGACTTGGCAAGCATAGAATTCCCTTAAACAAACAACCTTGTTTCATAGCTGACAACCTGAAACCCAGCTCCCATGTGGATGTGCTGGCAAGACGTGGCATGGTCCCCAGTGCCCTGTCACCTACACGGTGGTTGGGTCAGCTGGTGACCCCCAACCATAAAATTATTTTCATTGCTACTCTATAACTGTAATTTTGCTACTGTTATGAATCGTCATATAAATATCTTTTTGTTTTCC